TGCTGAACCTTGTGGACTTCCTTTGTTTCTCATCTTATATTCAGGAGAGGCTACCTCAGTTTACATTCAGTGACCCTTTTTAATTTGACCTGATTGATTACTAAATGTTCCTGCAGGTTTACTTCATTATCATTTCTAACTTGAAAACATAGCACAAATATAGTTTAAACAAAATTATGTTCATGGGGAAGAACAGAATCTTTAAAAACTGAAACTAGAAATTAAAAATCCATTTTCATTCTGATCTGGAAACTGTGTTTTCATTTGGATGCTGATCTGCATCAAGTGGAATATAGTCTGTGCCAATTTTTTTTTCATGCACGTATAAGTAGTAGTTCATAAAAAAAAATCAGTATTTTTGGTCATTTACACCATTCCACATTATTAAGTGAATAATTTCTGGTGCAGTCCCGATCTGTACCTAACTAACTAATTATGGCCTAACAAACAAACAGATGTGAAAACATACTCTTGGTGGAGGTAAAAACTGTTGCAACATACTATAAAATAAGAGAAGCAGAACAAATGACAAGCTGTAATAAACTGATTTCTATATGGGTCCTCCTGGCAAAATGCAGAATCCATGTAACAGTACTTGCACAGGTTAGCAAAAAAGGCAGACTAAGTAGTTTTATGGCAGGCATTTCCTAGAGGAGGTTAAGGCGAGCCTACATTTTCATTTAAAGAGTAGAATTGGATTGATCAATTGCTTTGAAAACGGTGAATAAATTCTTATTTCTAGTGTGACAGAGAGTTGTTTGTGGGTCTAAGGCAGAGTTGCTGCGCTCTGATCTACTTTTAGATAACGGTAGGCTGAGGACTTTGATGACTCAGTAGAGCAGGAAGATAATTGATACATATGAAATATAAGAAACTAGAGTGAGTAACTCTTCAGACTCAAAATGACTTCTGCATACTGTGTTGTAGGTATATACTGTATATTTCAACCTATAATAAGCTTGGAGCAAATGATGATGTTTATGTGAGAGAACATCTGTTTTCATCTGGAGGACTTGACTCCTTTGTGATGGCTGCTAATTTAATCTGAGTGACAGATATGACAAGCAGAACAGAATTATTTTGATGAACTGAGTGCTTCAACAATTGGCTTTAATTGAATCTGTCTGTGTCTTGGTTTCTGCCTCACTGATTCACATTAACTATTGTCTTTTTTTGTTTGTTTGTTTGCTCTTTCCCCTTGTTACCTAGGTGATGAGCTGGAGTGTATACAGCCCAGTTTGTACAGGAATGTGGCACGGCAGCTCAACATCTCGGTTGCCATGGAGAACATGGTTTCAGATGCCTTCATCGGCGTTGCAACAGAGATCTTTTCAACAGGTACCTGAAGTTGTTAATGATGATGATGATGGAGGAGGAAGCAGGAAACTAATATTCAGCCAAATGAGTTCTGCCAGCACAAAGTGTTTTACGCTTCTACAATGTCACTGACTACTGTTGAAAGCTGTTTTGTGGTTTTAAAAGGTGTCCCTGTGCAGTTTGCATCAGCTCCTTTTGAATGAGTTGCTTTCAGTGAGCGTGAGTGGGTGCCAGTGATGCGTAGGTGGAGTGCGACTTCAGCTATAAGATATAATTAGTTCTAAATCTAGAGTCACTGAGTTTAGGAGTGCATTTCTGTACATTCTGTACATAAAGGATGTTTGCATTGAGTTTAAGTATATAGTACTGGCTCACTCATCAAACAAGAACATTTTTTTCTCTACTTTTTATTTTGAATTAAGGCTTTGTGGGGCCTAGGCCAACTCATGAAATGACTTGAGTGAGATTGTTTACCCAGGGAGGAAACAAGAAAACAATAAAGCGTTAATGTTTAATTTTTGACTGCTCTGTAAGTATTGCTTCTGTTTTTTAAATACTCCAGTTTGACCCTTTCAGGACTATAAAAAGTATTGAAATGAAACAATGTGACAGAAGAACATCACTCTTTAATTGATCTCATCTTAAGAAAAGCAACAATGTCAGAGTGATTCATTTATTTTCAGAGTAAGCCTAACAAAAAGGTTAGGGGTGGTTAAACCGTGGTTCAGCCTTGGTCTTGAGTGAGGACCTGGGTTTTTGTCAGCGTGAGTCTCGACTTGGTCTTGACAACAGATCTGCTTGGTACACTATTCAAAACCAGCAATGTCATGTTGGAGCCCCCAGAGGAAAAGAGTGACTTTGTGCCCTCTGTATGAGCCTTTGGGGTAGATCAGATGATCTGACTGCATTGCAGCAAACGACTAAATGTGGCACTTTCCCAGACTGAAAATCAGACTCTCTTAATGTAATGATTATGCCTGTGTACTGGCCAAACTTGTGTGTGTTGTGATGTCATCGGGTTGTTATTTTCAGAAATGGCGTGGGATTCCCTCTGAAGAATAACAGACTGGTGAACCCAGACTGCCCCAGCATTCTGAGATTGGATGAAACCTGGATATAAATAGAAAAAACATCCATGCTTGTTTTTCCTGCTGTCCACAATGTGCTTTGCTTTTTCATATGATTATAACTGCTTAACATAGATTTAGAGGCCACCAAAGGGAATCTAACTATGTGCCATAACCACATTTTTTTTGGGAAAAGGTTAACCAGCCACTTGTGCTTTGGTTTCTCTTAGTAAAGTCAGCATGACTTTTCTCTTCTCATCTATCTTCCCCCTGCCTCCCCCTTCAGTTCTTTTTTCTGTCCTCCCCTCCTCCAGCTTTATCC